TCGCTCTCGGTTGCCTCGAATTCTGTTGGACAAGGCTCTGTGGTCAACGGAGGGGCCCAAAGGAGGCTGCTTGCTGGACTTACCTGGTTAGAGGTCATGTTCTCTGCCTTCATTAAAGAGGAGTAACTCCTGCAAAAGAGAAGGGACACAAACACTGCAGCAGCAGCAGCAGCAGCAGACAGCCCTGAGAGCACCTCCGGGCACAAGAAAAAGGATTGACAGGGTCCCCCCAGTTCTTACAGGAAGCTGCCCCCACCGTGGGCAAGGGCCACGAGTGGGAGGCTGGCTTGGGCACCTCACCCACCACACCATCATCGCTGTAAAGACCGCGGGCGTCCCTCACTTGAGCGTTCCCTACACCAACGTGGGGAACCCTCTGCAGCTCCATGGAATGGAACAGGCTCACACTGAGGGACTCCTAAACCTTTGACCGAGCGGGCCTTTGCTCTCAGCGCAAAGCAAGGGCTCTCAGTGGACGTGCCCTCCTCGTCTGTTGGGGATTCCTTGCTGATCAGTATAAATAAAACGACCCTGAGGGAATCGCCTGGCAACCTTCCCCAAATAAGGGGCCTTCAAGATGCATCGGAGGACAGCTCCCCATGGGTACTGGGCACTGAAACTGGCCATCTCCGAAGGGTGCCAGCCGAGGAACGCCGCCCGACGGGCTTCAAAGAGGTGCCCTCCAACACGCCGACTAAAATTCAGGAGATGGGAACAGATGTTTCCCGTCACAGACCAAGACAGGCCAAGGGCCTTTCCCTCCTGACCTGCTGGGACAGAGAAAAAGCCTGAACTCTCAGCGCCCTACGGACCCGAGGTCCCTGAACAGAAGAGCAGGTATGGTGGCCCTGCAGAAAAACAGGCTCATCTCACGGACAGCGGCTTGCCTGGGGCTCAGAAGGGTGACTGACTACGGTGAGAAGCCACAAAAGCCGTTTCCTAGCTGCCTTTGAAACAAAACCACAACGTGGCACCAATTAGAATAGCTGGCTGCACAGCCCTTAACCAAGGCCAACAGAAATGGGTATAGTGGAAGGAGTGGAAAAGTGAAAGAAGGAGTGAAAGAAAGAGTGAAAGACTGAAAGAAAAAGAGAGTAAGAGAAAAAGGAAGGAAGGAAGGAAGGAAGGAACTCTCCTTGTTAGAAGCACTCAGTTACTGCCCAGTAGAGAAGAGACAGCTGGCAAATACTAGCGAGAACACTTTACACCCTCGGAGGGTTTCTTCCAGGACTCTGGAAGCCAGAATTGGGGGCTAGGAGCCCGAACAGGATCTGCATGCCTTTCTGGTTTGACCCTCCTGGCAGCAAGAGCCCATTGTGGCCCAGAGAAGCACCTTTCCCGTCCCTCTTAACACAAGGGTCGGCTGCAAAAGGTGAAAAGAAAAACAGTACAATGGTGCCTCGCAAGACGAGCACTTCGTTTAACAGCGAAATCGCGTAACGATGAAGTTTTTGCGATCACTAGCAATCACAAAACGATGTTTCCTATGGGGTTTTTTCGCTTTGCGATGATCGGTTCCCTGCTTCGCTAACTGATTATCGCAAGCCGAAGATTTTCGCACAGCTGATCGGCGGTTTCAAAATGGCCGCCGGATTTTTCACAGCTAAATGGCCGCCCGCTGTTTTCTGAGACTGATTCCTCGCTGCACGGGCAGCGAAAATGGCTGTGCTATGGAGGATCTTCGCTGGACGGTGTGTTTCAAGCCCATAGGAACGCATTAATCAGGTTTTAATGCGTTTCTATGGGCTTTTAAAAATCGCTTTATGTTTTCGTTCTACAGCGATTTCGCTGGAACGAATTAACATTGTAATGCGAGGCACCACTGTATCTTTCTCCATGCCCTGCTTTGCCATCTAGTTTTTCAAGCAGGAAGAATTCATGAGGCGGCTGCCAGCGTCCAGGATGACCGTCCATCCACTCCTCCGCACAGAACCCATTAACCCAGGTCAATGCCAGCCATCCTGAAAGCAACACATTTTTCTCCCCCACTTCACTTCATTTCTGTGTTTTCAGAAGCAGGAGGCCTGTGGCTCAAGTCCTGATTCCGGCTGACACCAGGAAAGCAGGCCAGGCAAACTGGGGCCCGGAGGGGAAGGGGGGCACCGTCCCTTCCCCTCTGTACCCACAGCTGTAGCTAGGGCAGGATGTACCCACATGGGGAAAACAGAACTTGTCAAGACGTGTCATTGGGAGGGAGGGGGTCTGAGCGATCAAGCTCTCCCGCAGAAGACAGAATCTCTTGGCCCCAAAGCACTACCGGCCTGTGGTGATGTCTAACATCGTTTTTTAATCCTGGCAGAAAAACCACCCTTCTGAAAATGTTTTGTTTGAGGTCATCTGGCAAACCAGCAGTACAGGAGGGAAAACAAACAGGAGTCTGGCACCCAAGCCTGTTGTTGAGGAATCCGGGCCAGCTCCCTTGCTTTGCTGTCAAGAGGGGAAAAGGAAAACAGCTTCTGCTGTTTGCCCGAAAACAGAGCGGGGGAACGGGCCTTGTGTGCTTGAATCCACACACACACACACACACACCCAGCCAGGGAGACCGCGGCCAGGAGGGGCCCCACAGCGACACCCACCTGAGCTCATCCATCTCTTTCTTCTTCTTCATCTCCTCCTTCTCCTTACGTTTCATCTCTTGGATCTGGGCCTTCTTCTCGTTCCTCTCCTCCCGGTCACGAGATTCTCTCTCAGCGGCCAAGTCTGGGAATCGCTCCACTTTGGTCTTCTCCAGTCGGTTCAGGATCTCGTTCACCTTCTTCTCCACGGTCAAGATCTTGACCTAAGGGCAAGAAACAACGCGGATGGCAGGAATGAAGAGCATTTCGCCTCGCCTCTGAGGCAGGTTTCCAGTAAAGCTGGGGCAGCCTCTGAGCAGAAAAGCCCGAGGGGGGCTTGTGTGTGGAAAGAGACGTCCCTGAGGGTGCCAGCAGGACAGAGGGGTCCAGCGCTGGTCCAGCGCGGCAGGGGATGCAGGCTACCTCTCCAGGTGGGACCACCACCCAGATGCCCAAGGCTGGAGGCTGGTGGCCAAGAAAGCTCAAGCTCCCGTTGTGGGCTTTAAGCTACCTCAGCAGATCCAGAGACTCTCGGCCCTGCTTTGATCCCTTTCCCTGATCCTGGTTTCCCACCTCCATCATATACTCCTTCTCTTCAAAAACCCCTAACTCAAGCCGAACGCCTTCTCTTGCTTGCTGTGGATGTCAGTCCTTCCATTTCTTTCCTCCTGCCTCCAAGTCTTCCAAAACTGGGGTGGCCGTTCCTCTCTGTCAAGTCTTAGCCCTCTCCGTGGCTGCCAGGGTTTCCAATTTCACTCGTACCAAACCTTCAGCCTCTGAACCCACCTTGGTCAGTTACCTACCCACTTGGTCTGGGCCTGCTTTAGCTGCAGGCGAGCCGGACTTGCCAAAGGCAACCAGGCCATGGAGGGGGGAGGGCTATTTATAAGCCTGCCGCGTGACTTTGCTTGCTTTGTGTCACTCACCACTCCTCACCCAAGAAGAACTTCGGTCAGCCACCAAGTGACAAACCCCACCCAGCCAAACCAAAGGGTTTCTTAAGAGTAGCAGGAGAGACAAGAGGAGCTTCCCCCGCTTGGCATCTACTGACGCCATTCTGCCTCTCCCGGCAAAGACCACCTCACGTTAGGAAAGGTTATTTCCTGAGGCTGCCACAGAGAGGAAGCCAAAGGCTGGAGCAGCGGACAAGGGGATCCAGACTGGATCTGTCATGCGGCACTACAGGGCAGAGCGGTCCTTTCCTCAAAACAGTGGAGACGTCGCCAGCCCCCTGATGCCCTTTTCGGTCAGCTATGTAGAGGCAGGCGCCCATCTTTCAGGACTGAGTTCTGCCCCTTTGAAGGTCAAGGCCTGGAATCAGACCCCCCCCCCCCCGGAAGCCATACAGAAGCGGAGGACTTCCTGCCCTGCCCGCTTGGAATTAAATTGCAGTGGAGCCAGAAGCCATCTTCTCTTGAGGGAAACATCAGCTCCAACTCCATCCAGCCAATGCAGCAAGAAGGACTCTGAGGGCTGTCCTTCCTCAGCATGAAAGGAAGAGGACACCGTTACACTGTTCCCAGGACTGAGCAGTTACAACTGTCACCGTATCCCGCCTCATCCTGATGAACTGAAGTTCTGCTGAAGCAACGTGGGCAACTCCGCACTTCCGCTGCTGGGCCATCTGGTCAAGACACGAAGGCAGAGACTTCCTGCCTCCATTTGGTTAAAACCACATTAAAGCAACTACCTGCCACAGGGGTGGCGGCATTAGAACCCGAGCCTCCTGTTGTCACTGGAAACCTCCTATTTCCAGGCTCAAGGGAGGATGAGGCTGCCTGCCCAAAGTAGCACAGGACGCCTGTGCAGCCGCCCGACGGCCTCCCCAGAGGGGCCGGGCGAGGCCTCCCGAACCTTTAAAGGCTCCCCCCTCCCCCGCTGCCTTCAACCCTGGGCCCTCTCCACACGCAGGGACCCTGTGGCAAAGTTCCCCATACAGGAGGGGAGAAAAATGAAATGCCACAGAAAGTGAGCGATCCTCCTGCATTCTAAGCTTCCAAGGCACCTCTGAAGGGTTGACGAGGCTGAAGGAACGCATGACCTTGAAGGAGGAGCAAAGCGAACAGAAACATCTCACGCCATCCTGCAGGGTGTTCTCCAGCTATTGGCTTTTCTTTTTTAATTCCTCAAAATCCCATCGTTTCTACTTTCCCAAAAGACGAAAATACTTTTCTAAGCCTCGTGGATACTAAGGAAGTTTTTAACCACAAAGACACAAACTTTTGAGCTGGCTTTTTGCCAAATCAGACCACAGCCCACTCCAGGGCTGGGATCCATTTCAGTATTACCACAGGCCACTGGCTCAAGCACTTTTCTCCATTTGCTGGGGTGTCCACCAAATACCCGGTCACACAATGGCTGCGCCACTGACGGTGCGAAGGTCACCTCAGAAACGAGAGGAAACAGCTCTTGGGAGCGGCATTCTGGTGAATCAAACCAAGAGGACTGGCCTCAGATTCCAAGTAGCCCCACAGGGTCTGGGGTTTTACCTGCCTTAAAAGCCACTAACGCTTTACGAACAGTGTTCTCCGTTAACCTGGACAATTTATCGTAAGCCCAAGGACGACTGACAGGTGTCAGGAGATGAGAGCACTCAGACTCTGGGCAGAATTCATGCAACACCATTACTATGCCTCAGGGGAAGGGGACACGCTCAGGCAGCCCCGAAAAAGGGGCCGCCGGCAGCTCCAATCTTTACTTCACGTTTACGGCTCCTTGCATGAAGTCACATGGAGGCCGTTCAACTGGGTGAGAACATATCTGGCGGCTGAATAATTATCAGCTTAGTAATGCTGACCCAGCGATCCATAGCAACGCAGCTCCACCCGGCCGCCCTTGCAGTGCACTCAGCAAGGGGATGCTGTGATGACAGGAGACGGCCGGCAGGATCTTCCTGTCCTCCTTCCTCCTCCCCCCCCACACCACCTCCCTCCCCATTTCACAAGACATGAGCAAAGTCTCCCACTGGGTCCTCAGAGGGCCAGAGCTTTGGAGGGAGGGAGGGGGTGGAAAAACACTTACGTCCTTCTGCCGGTGAAACCCGATCTGTCCCACATCCATGTCTGCCGTCTTCTTTAAGTTGGTCCATGGGGTGTACACCACGTTGACGTTATTCATTTTACAGCCTAAAGAAAGCAGTGATGCCTTACACCAAGGGCCGGAGGTTTAGCGGGCTATGTCAAGCCCCCCTCGCCTCACATTTGATCCTTCTCATCAGAGTTCTTTCAGAGGCTAACTAGACAAACATGGTCAGTGGTTCCCTGAGGGACTGGACAGCCCTGCCAGACAGGCTGCTACCTGTGAGACATGACAACGTGAGAAGGGAAGGCAGTCTTCCAGAAGAAACCCTGCCAGGTTATGAAACAGCCTGCAGCACATCCTGCTGTCAACAGGAGATGCAGGGAAAAGCTAATTCACTCCAGATACTCCCAGAGGCGGGCGCCCGACTACAGGCGCCTCTCAGCTCCCAAGTTCAGGGAGCAAAGAAGGGATACCAAGAACGCCAGCGAAGAGCAAAGGTTCTCAGGGTGAAAACTCGTAAAAGGCAGCAGCCGTTGCTGAACGTGACCGCTGCCCCCCCCTTCTCTCACGGCTTCAAGACTTGGCGTACGTCCACCCAGGAAGGAACTGTGGATGGAGGGGATGGGATTTCCTAGGGCAGAGAAGGAATCATCCCTGGGGGCTTCCGCACCATCCAGGGATACCTTCCCACACCCTCTCCGGGCAGGTGATGCCGAGAGAACTCTTCCCTTTCCTGAGCCTGAAGCACAAAGCCTGAAGGAACGTCAAACCGTTTCTCTTGAGACCCAACCTCAACGGGCTCAGCAGCGCTGGGTGCTCAGATCCTGAAGTCAAGGGGGGGGGAAGAAATCCCACCCAGCTCCATCCTGAGCCCTGCCAAGGCTTGGGCACTCTGGAGATCACAGCCAGCCAGGCCTTGGCAATGGGAGAGGGGGAGGGTGGCCCTCTTGGTTCTGATACCATCCATCACGGTATCCTTGTGGCCCGTCTCTCTGAGATGGGACTTGGAGGCACTGCGTTACGGTGGCTCCGGTCCTTCTTGGAGGAGAGAACTCAGAGGGTGGTGCTGGGGGGCGTTCCTGATCCACACCCTGGTTCAGCAACTAGCTTGCAAGGTCGCTCAGGGTTCTGTTTTGTCTCCTACGCTCTTTAACATCTGCATAAAACTGCTGAGAGAGGTTGCCTGTCGTTTTGGGGTTCAGTGTCATCAAGATTCCCTCTAGGGCCCGTGCCTGCTCAATTGCCCCCTTCCAAGCAGTCTTCCTCCCCTGCACACCCATAGAACCCTAGAAAAGTGAGGCTGGAAGGGGCCTTTGAAGACTATCCAGTCCAACCCCCTTCTCAAGGCAAGAATCAAAATCACAGCATATCTGCCAGGTGCTTATCTAAATTTTTCTTGAATGCCTCCAGTGTTGGAGCGCTCAACGCCTCCCCTTGAGGTCACTGGGGATCCCGTGGTAAGAGCAATCCCTTTCAGCCCCTTTGGTTCTAGTTGTGACGGAACCCCATGCGGGGGAGGGGGAGGTGCTGTTGCACATGCAAGGGGCTCAAATTAGAGGGAACACTGGGTGTCACCAATACGCAGGTGAAACCCACCGGTATCTCTCCTTGCCCTCTAAATCCAAGGAAGCTGTTTCAGCTCCAAATCGGTGTCTGGTGTCACTAATGGACAGGATGAGGGTGAATAAACTGAAACTTCATCCAGACAAGACCGAGTTGCCCCTGGTCAGCCAAAAGGCAGATCAAGGAAGAGAGAGGCAGCCTGTGCTAGACGGGGTGACACAGGTACGAAGCTCAGGGCGCTCCTGCATCCATCTCTGAGCCTGAACGCCCAGGTTTCTGTGGTAGCTGGGAGGGCCTTTGCACAATTAGAACTTATGGGCCAGCCGCACCCATCCCTGGGGAGGTCTGATCTGGTCATGGTGACACAGGTCTGTTACATCCCAGCTGGATTGCTGTAATATACGCTCCATGTGGGGCTGCCTTTGAAGACGGTTCAGAACGCCGCAGCCAGACGGCTAAAGGAGACCAGTGACAGGGAGTGTATCCGTCTCCTGCTACAACAGCTTCACTGGCTTCCAGTCCATTTCCGAGCAAAATTTGAAGTGCAAAGCAAAGCGTGCTGCTTATATACCGCCCCATAGTGCTTCAAGCACTCTCTGGGCAGTTTACAAGTTAAATGCACGCTACACATTGCCCCCCACCCCCCAGCAAGCTGGATACTCATTTTACTGACCTGGGAAGGACAGAAGGCTGAGTCAACCTTTAGCGAGCTACCTGGGATTGAACCCCAGGTCGTGAGCACAGTTTTGGCTGCAGTACAGCGGTTTAACCACTGCGCCACAAGTACTTATTATAACCAACAAAGCCCTAGAGGGTTTGGGTCCAGGCTGTCTGAAGGACTGCATCTCCCCCAATGAGCATTCCTGGCATCCTCAGCTCTGGAGAGGAGGCCCTTCTCTAGGCCCCAATTCCCATCACATGTGGTGGGGACACAAAAGGGGGCCTTTGCTGTGGCTGCTCCCACACTGTGGGATGCTCTCTCACAAGAGGTTAGGTTGGCTCCTTCCCTTTTATCTTTCTGACGACTGTTTAAAGACCCGCCTTTTTAAGCAGGCTTTTAATAACTGAATTGGGTAAGATTAGTGTTTGCCAGACACTGGGCATGTATCCTTCTAAATGTGTTTATAATGCTTTTGAAAATGTTAAGACAGTCGCTTTAACTACTATGTATATGTTTACATTTCTTTTTAATCCTGTCATTTATTGGGCTTTAGACTAACTCCCTTTAATCATCGTGATCCATCCTGAATCTCTCCCTGGGCGAAAGGCAGCCTTAAAATGAAACAACAGGCAAACGAGTAAGCTGCCGGGGGGGGGGGAACAATCCTTCCTGTGCTCACAGCTGTCCCAAGTAGCCCCCGCTCCCTTTTTCTTCCTCCTCCCATTCTGGAGCTGTGCAGCTCAGGGAAACAGAGGCTGGAGACTTGGGACATTCAGTGCTGGGGGAGCCTCCCTCCAACATGCATCGGAAGATCCAGGAGGGAAGGAAGAGTCCCAGGCTGGCAAGAACCCCCATGGGGAAAAAAACCCCATGTTGAGACCTGAACTGAAAAAAGGCAAGTAGACAGAGGAAGGGGGGGTGGGGTGGGGGCTGCACAGCAAGCTGAATGCCAGACACTGCCCCACTGTGAAATGCTGAAAAGATGCAGGAAAACCATGAGGATGTCACATCTGCCCAGCCACAATGTGGCCTACTGCTGCTTGTGCTTCGCTCCCATTTCTCCGGCGCAGCCTTTGAACCATTTGGGAATGGGTGTACGCCTTAATTCCAAACCCTCCTCTACAATGAAAGCCATACCCTGAATGCTGTTGGCCTTCACAAGGTGTGCGCAATCTATCAAGACCTCCTTTGGGACGTCGTCCACCGTCTGTCCCTGAAAGGAACCAAAGTGGATGTTAGTACAAGCAGGGGGGTTTGTGGAATGGACAGCAAGAAACAAACCCATTCAGACAACCTAGGCCCCCTTGCTGAGTAACTGATGGAGAGTAGCCACCATCATCTCTGGCAGCAAACCTTAACAGAGTCTTGCAGGGCCATAAGAACTGAAGCATCCCTCAGGGCAGGCATTTTGAGGACCAGAATTCATGTTGTCAGAGGCATCGGAGAAAGAGGATTCCAGCCAGTGAAAATTCCTGCCGTATCATGTGCTATTTCAAGCTGCTGTGAGGTTCTTGCCTGTTTTCAGTCTGAGCCCACCCAATGTTTTTAAAATCTTCCCTACATATACTGTATATATAAACAAAAAAAGCAAAGCATGCTGCTTATATAGTACTCAAAGCACTCTCTGGGAAGTTTACAAGTTAATGATGCAGGCTACGCACGCCTCCCCCCTAGCGAGCTGGGTACTCATTTTACTGACCTGGGAAGGACAGAAGGCTGAGTCAACCTTTAGCGAGCTACCTGGGATTGAACCCCAGGTTGTGAGCACTGTTTTGGCTGCAGTGCAGCCATTTAACCACAGCACCACGAGGCTCTATAGAGCCTTTTTAAGCGCCTTGAGAAGAACCCCTAGGACAGCCAGTCTCACGGCCACCCTATTATCTTCAGGGCCGAAAAAGAAAAAGACCCCTGCCCTGGATCGGAATTTGTCCCCAGCCCCGGAGCTCCCAAGGCTCAAAGACACCTTGGGAGGCTATGTACACGACCCCAAGAAGCCGCAGGACAATATACAGCCACTTTTAAAACTTAGGCCACACACTCTTCGGATCAGATTCCTCACTGCGCTACACTGAAGTGATGGGAGGGCTCTTCCCCTTTTCTTGTCTTCTGAAGTGACCTCCTTCTAAATGTGCCTTGGTTGGTGGTTTTTTTTAATTTATGAATTGCCAACATACTCAACAAACCAAGGGAAACGCTCAATATCCCCTGATCAGATTCCTCACTGCGCTACACTGAAGCGATGGGAGGGCTCTTCCCCTTGTCTTCTGAAGTGACCTCCTTCTAAATGTGCCTTGGTTGGTGGTTTTTTTTAATTTATGAATTGCCAACATACTCAACAAACCAAGGGAAACGCTCAATATCCCCTACCCATGTCACCTGCAGTCCCTGAGGTCTGTGTCAAGTCTGGTCAGCCCCTCCTACCATCTGCCCATGCCTGGCCCCACTTCCTCATTACTGCCCTTCACTCTTGATTTGAATGGCTTCTGGCTGCTCAACCCTGCAGTTGTCTTTCTTCCATCATCTTCCACCTTGGATGTCCGCAGGCACAGTCTGTGGTGGCTTTAGCCCCCACCCACCTATCCGTAACTGCAACACAAAGTGCCTATAAAGGAGGGCAAAAAAAGCAGAGCTGGAGGAGGGGGGGTTACCTTGTGTAGCCGGAGATACACGTGCGCAGAGGAGAGCTTGTCCACATGAAACCTACACAACACAGAACAGATCTGACTAGTGCTGCCGTGATGATTCCACCCCCAAGAATTTTTTTCTATACATCATGGCCAGCACCTGGGTATTTCACCCCTGAATACTTCGAAGAAGGAAATGATTTTTTTTTTTACAGCTTTTCACACTCACAACTCAGAGCAAGTATTCGCACAGCTGGCAGAAGAGGAAATGGAAAGGCTGGAGGAAGAGCAGCTAACATGAAACATGTTTTCTCCAAATAAGAGAAGCACAGAGGACTACGGGCTCCCCCTAGCGATCACGAAGCAAGCAGCCTGAAAGACCTAGCAATGATTCCTCGAAGGGAGAGGCTGTCTTCCACACTCACCACAGATCTTCCGGCCAGCCATACTTGATTAGGTCTTCATCTAGAAGGAAAAGCAAAACAGACCGTGAGCAGAAAGTTCTCAGATCCCTCTCAGAGCCAGGCCCTCAATGGACACCAGAAGCACAGCACCTCAAAGGCCGCCATCAAAACCGTTAAAAGGAAAAAGGACAAAATAAAAAAAAAATGCACAAGTGATCCCCTTCTATCTAAAATCTGGTCTCTTTCACTCAACGGGTCACATAACTGGTTGTCTGCAAAACTCTCCATAAAATGGGGAGGCATTTGCACCATTACTATGCCATACACCTTTTCCCCCAGCACAACATTGGCTACTGAAGTTTATTGATTTATCTTATTCAAAATACTCCTGCTAGTGTTCCTTTCCTTTCAATTTAACAAGAACTTAAGAAGACACACATACATACATACTGATTTCTGGTAAGAATCTGGGGAGTGCTTTGTTTCGGAAGCCCTCTTCGTATTAAGTAGGTGCTCTCCGAAAACAATGCCTGACATCTATTGGGCAGCTCTGCGCGTGCAAGGGGTGTGTGTGATGTAACCACCAGTAGCAGCAAATGGCCACCCTTTAAAGGCAATTTTGGGGATGCCTGCACAACAGGGTGAAGAACAGTACCACAACAGTACCTCCAAACCATTAAAACTCGTCTTTAAATAGCAGTGATTTGCCACAGCCAATGATTTCATCTCCACTGCACACACAAAAGCGACATACCTGACGCTAGAGCCACCTCTGTAGCTGTAAAACAACTGTGGAAAAGTTGCTGCAAGCCACTTTCCCCTCTTTGAAACAAGGTGCCCTGGCAAAGCTGTTAGTCCTTAGCACAAACAACATGAATCTCTCAACCTTTCTACTAAAGATCACTCTGTACGATAACACTGTCTGCTTGACCTTCTTGGACTCGAATTTTAAGAACAAATCTGAAGACGACAAGCAGAAGGGTTCCTATCATACATCAAGTATTTGATTTCTGGTCACATCCTCACGTTATATAGTTCACTCAAGGCCAGGTACTCATTTTTCAAAAATGCAACTTTACAAATGTCTTTGTCTCAGGTTTTTAAATGAAAAAACATGGGATGACAGGAGCAAACATTCCTGACCCATTTGGGCTTTCTGAACCATAGTTTGAGGCACCCGGAAACTCAATGTAGTACCAACTCCAATGATTTTTTTTTTTTTTTGCTTGTTGCCCACTCTTACTAATGCTATTTTTGCTAATTATCCATAAAACTGATAAATCCAACTTTAACGCAGTGAATTACCTCAGACAACTACTGAATAGTAGTCTACATACTGTAATATACCTGTCTGAGGAATGTAAAATTGAAGGAGGAACACTCAGGGCCCACAGCCCTGGGTGTGCATCAAAAGGGCGTGCATGGTACACTTTTATTTATTTATTAAATTTATACCCCGCCCATTCAGACCCAAGTCTGCTCTGGGCAGCTAACAATAAAAAATGGCATAAAAGTGATATAATAAAATAGAGAACAACAATAACAATATCGTTCAAGATGGGGAAAAGAAAAAAATAATCAAGTGATGACAGGAGGGAAAACCTGCCTAAAGAGCCAGGTCTTAAGTTGGCTCTTAAAAACACCCAGCAAGGGAGCCAGGCAGATCTCTGAAGGGAGTAGCGAGGGGCTACTGCCGAGAAGGCTCAAGGGAGCCAGACAGATCTCTGAAGGGAGTAGTGAGGGGCTACTGCCGAGAAGGCCCAGTTTCTTCTTCTTTCTCTCTGGGCCTCCCTCGGCGTTAGGCCCCTCAGGTGCCCCTCCTGGCTAGAATGAGTGATTCGAGTAGATCTAGGTGGGAGGAAGCGTTCCACTAGATATCAAGGTCCTAAACCGTTTAGGGCTTTATATGTCATACATGCCAGGGAAACATTCATTTCTATTATTGCAAACTAATAAGCCATCCTGAAGACCATTCAACAGAAAGGAAAGGCACAAATCTTCAAAACAGATACATTTTCTAAATTAAAACTACTGCGCAGACCAAGAGCTACTTCTGATGTTTATGCTATTGTTTGCTTCCTTTTTCTCTTCCAGACAGACACAGCTTTCAAGTTTATTTATTGAGGGGGTTCCAAAAACAGGGTACAGATGGTAGACTAATACAATAGTGCCCCGCTTGACAATTACCCCGCTTGACAAGGAAATCGCTTAACGATGAGTTTTTTGAACCATAGTCTGTGTGGGGGCAAGGGAGGGAATCAAAACGATGATTCAATGGGGTTTTTTTCGCTTCACAACGATCAGTTTCCTGCTTCAGGAACTGATTTTTCGCTTAACAACGATCTAAAAATAGCTGATTGGCGGTTCGCAAAATGGCACCCCGCTGTTTTGCTGACCTATTTTCGCTTTACAGGCATCAGAAAATGGCCGCCCTATGGAGGATCTTCGCAGGACGATCAGGTATTTCCCCCACTGGAACGCACTGACCGGTTTTCAATGCATTCCAATGGGGTTTTTTCCCGCTTGACTACGATTTCGCTGTACAGCGATTTTGCTGGAATGCATTATCGTCGTCAAGTGGGGCACCGCTGCAATTTTATCTAGACAGTCCAAATTAGATTAGAACAATTTGTTCTTGCAAAAGATGCACAACTTTGCAAAGGTTTAACACTTAAATCAAACCAGACATAAAATGTGAAATGAAAATGAAAATCAATACAAAACGTATAGATACTGATCTTATTTCACCAGGAATATTCACTGGGTCTTGCACTTACTTTCGTATTTATCTTTTCCCATATAAATCGAGTAAGGAGTAGACGCCACTGAGGGATAGAAAAGCAAAGCCAAAATGAGTCAGTATTTCAGATTAGACTATGCACAGCTAGTTCACCAAGAAGGAAACAAACTGCAAGGTTTGTTCTAGTTCAGTGGCTCTCAAGGGCTGTTCCAAAGACCAGTAGTTGCCCCTGCTATTCCTTCATGCTCCCACCCATGCAATCTCAGGAAAAGGCCAAAAATAATTTGAGACCAGTCACAGCTCCACTCACTCCCCTGAGGTTGTCTGGAAGATAACAGAGAGGAAACTCACATACCGCAGCCTCTCCCCCTTGGAGGAAGGAGGGTACAAAGGCAGACAACAGAGTTTGCCAAGAAAGCAAAGCGTGAGAACGAGGGCTTCGGCTTGTACCAATGTTCAACTTGGAGATCCCAGAACCACACAAAAAGCGGCAGTGGGAATTTGCAAAAGAGGTTGAGAGGGACCCTAGTTGGAAGAATGAAGCGGCAGGTGCTTCAAAGTCAGCCTTGCCCATGCCTTTTATGCCAGGTAGCTGGAAATGCCAACCCTGCAACTATTTTTGGTCTAGGTAAAGGTAAAGGTTCCCCTTGACAATTTTTGTCCAGTCGTGTCCGACTCTAGGGGGCGGTGCTCATCCCCGTTTCCAAGCCATAGAGCCAGCGTTTGTCTGTAGACAATCTTCCGTGGTCACATGGCCAGTGCGACTTAGACACGGAACGCTGTTTACCTTCCCACCGTGGTGGTCCCTATTTATCTACTTGCATTTGCATGCTTTCGAACCGCTAGGTTGGCAGGAGCTGGGACAAGCAACGGGCGCTCACTCCATCGCGTGGATTTGATCTTACGACTGCTTGGTCTTTTGACCCTGCAGCACAGGCTTCTGCGGTTTAGCCCGCAGCACCACCACGTCCCTCAATTTTTGGTCTAAATCTGAATAAAATGCTGTGCCTCGCTTACACTTATTGACACATCACTTTCCAGATGAGCAAGCCTCACACAAAGCAGTTTACAAACAATTATGGATAGTAACAAAGGCTATAAAAAGACACACACACACACACACACACACACACACACACACACAAATTGAGAAAGAGAGAGGAGATATATCTCAGGAGTGGGCTGCACTCCTGAGAGCAACGGCTGTTCTGTGTCACCGACTCGCCTCGGACTCCTTGGCCGCCCTAGGAATGAGTGACCGCCCGAGGGTCCGTTGCCTTTTCTTCCCCCACCCTGAGAGTCTCCTCTTCCAGCACTATCCCTTGTTTCATGCGTCGCCTCTGATCGACGGCGGCCCCGGGCAGGAAGGGCCTCCAGAAGGCCTTCTCCTCAGCCGCCTTGTCGCTGGCTCCAGGATTTGGCTTCCTTGAGGGAGTCCGTCCATCCCGTGGGGGGGGGGGCTTCCTCTTTTCCTGCTGACGGAGCGCCCCCCGTCTCTCCTCTCAAGGCAAGAGCAGGCGACCCTTCGGAGGTTCAGCCTCCCCGGCCGCCCCGCCTTTCCCCTTCCCTGTCTCCCTCTCCCTCGCCCCCACGCAGGCTCCTCGGGGCAGGGGCCTCCCTCTCCGCCTGCCTGCCTGCCTGCTTTCCATCCCCGAGCGCGCATCGGGGGCCTTTTGGACCCACCAGGGGCGGCCTCCCCCCTTTCAGCCCCCGAAGGGCTTCCAGGGGAGCCGCTCCCGGCCCAGCCCAGCTCGGTCCGCCCGGCCTTACCGCAGGAGGTGAAGTAAAACACCATGGCAACGATCGGGCCGCACAGGCCTCCTGCGCGTCCGCTCGGGGAGGAAGGCAGCCAGCCGCTTCCGGCGTCGGAGGGCGGCCCGGAAATGACGTCTACAGAAGAAGGATGACCTTCGAGAGAAGCGAGAAAGAGAGCGCAAAGCAGCGCCCCCTGCCGGAGAGCGCGCAGCCCGGCGGCCTCGCAGCTCCGCTCCGCTTTAGAGGCGTTCCGACCGGTCTTGCGGGGAGGGGGATGGTGGTGGTGGGGGCGCGCTCGGTTTGGACGCCTCCTGGGGGACAACTTTCAAATTGGAGTTGGGGGGAAATTATTAGAGAGGGAGAAAGAGAAGAGGAAGGGAAGGATCAACGCAGAGGAGCAGAAAGAGACAGCAGGAGGGTGGGGGGAAAGGATGAAGAGAGAAAGAAGCATATTGTGTAGAAGAAAGCAGCGGGCACCCCTTGAGCCACTATCACTCCCTTCTGGCTGAGAGGAAGGATGGCTGAATGATGATGAGCTTGCAGCAGCCTGGAACGAAGACCCCCGTGTGGCTGGCTGGCTCGCCCTTTCTCCCCTTCTGCGGGTGGAGGGGGAATCCGAAGTCAGCCTGGGCTCCTCCTTCCTCCCTTTTGCTGGGAGAGTTTGGACCTGCAGCCTTATGGCCCGTTGACCCATGGCAAGCAGCCCCCCCACCTCTGGCACCCTCTTCTGCTGGTCACCGAAGACCATCCATCCATGGAAGATGGTGCTGGTGCCTCCTCGTCTCACTTGCCCTTTGGGCCGCACTCTGCCCAAGGAAGCCCCTCTACCTCATCCTTGGTTGCCTGGAGGAAGGGAGACATCCGGTGTGGGGGACCAGTGGCCTTTTCCAACTGGACAGTCCCTTTCCCCTTCTCCTCTGCTGGAAGGGGAGGTAACAGGAGGAGAGAGGTCCCAGTTCATCCAGTGACCACCTCTCCTTACCTGACCAGTTGTGTCGCCTTTGAAACCAAGGGGGGGCTGGGCCTCCCTTTTCCTCTAAGGGAAAAGGATGACATGACCGGCTCCTCTTCCTCAGCTGGAGGAGGGGAAGGGCAGCAAAGGCTCCAGAGATCCCTTCCAGCCTCTTCCATGCCCTGCTTCAGGCCATGCCGGAGGAGACCAGAACATCACGTGCGGGCTTTGTCGACACCTTCGCAGTTCAGCAAGCAAACCAAAGCGACCAAAGTTAATTCTCATGCCCATCTGCAAACTTAGCCCCGGGAAAGAGCCCGGGAGTATTGACAGCAATGTACCAGATGGGCGGGATACAAATCAAACAAACAAACAAACAAACAAACAAATATTCTAGAATGACCCCTTCAAAGTATGAGAGAAGGCACTTCAATCAGGCTGTTTCCTACTACTGAGAAACCATCTGCTCCCCAAGCGTATTTGAGTTCCTCACCAGGATTTCGCCCTCAGGGCCACAGGGGTGTCAATGAGTGTGTTTTTCCCTCCCCCCGTTTCTTTTTTTTTTTTTTTTTTTTTTTTTTTTTTTTTTTTTTTGGCTCAAAGGCATTTGTTTCCTCTGCTGTGGGCATTCAAGGAGGCTCCTGTCATATCTTGCCAGCAGCTACAGGGGACCCTGTGGGATCGGAGCAGGATCCCTCTGAATGCCTGTCGCTGGGGGGACGTCCCAGCCCGTAGGGAGACGTCTGAAGACCCTGCCTGGGAGGCTCATGGAAAGCATTCCTCCCGCTTCTCGCTGGCTGTGGCCTGCCAGCAGAGCCACAGACTGCAAGCCGGTCCCTGCCAGGCTCTCTCTTCCCACAGGCAGCCGGTCCCTGCCAGGAGGAGCCCTGGAGAAGGCGTCGCTTGCATGTCTCCCGAATTTGGCTAAGGGCGCCGTGTGATTGTGGGTCACCCTGATGGATGGAGAGAAGATGGCCTTTGGGAAGGGAGGGCTGTGCTTGGGGTCAGGGGGTGGGTGAGTGAGGCTGGCTGGCTGGCTTCTTGCCCAGTTCGTCCTGGGAGATGCCCTAAAACAGCGGTATCCAACCTTGGGACACCCAGGAGCCCTTGGACTTCAGCTCGCAGAAGGCCTTGCCAGTGGCGCAGCCAGTGGCAGAGGCTTCTGGGAAATGCAGTCCAAGAACATCTGGGGGGGCCCAGGCTGAGAAGCCCTAAAGGGGGGGCCTTCTTCTTCTCCTCCTCCCTTATTTTATTCCACAAAGACCCTCCTCCGCTGGGAGGAGTTGCCAGGAGAGGCCATGCCGGCCTTCCTTCCCTGCCTGCCCGCCTGACTGACCCCTTTGGGGCAGGGGAAACGGGGTGTGGGGTGTGTGTGGAGAAGGCAGGCTCTCCAGAGGACTGTCGGCCTCTTGGCCTTGGCAATGCCACGCCCGCCCCAGGGAGCGGTGGACTACACCTCCCAGAATCCCCTCGCCGGCTGTGGGATACTGGGAGATGTAGTCCGTCCCCGCTCCCCTCAAACGGAACCCTTGCCCAGTCTCTCCCTCTCGGAGTCTGCGCGCAGGCGCCTTAGGATCGACGGGCCCGAGACTCCCCCCTC